GCAAACTATAATCATATTGATCAGCTCCTAATTGGACGTAGAACCCACTTAACCAGAGGGAAATCATGCCTGGTACTGAAACCCTAGCTAACTACCCAGTGCTAGTGAAGTCATTCAGATTGGTAGAGAATCCACAAGCATTAATGTACTAAAAGAGCATAACTCCTAAGAAAAATCTAAACATTTGTCCTTAAAATACAGATAAGTATAGTCATCAAGGAAACTTGTCTTTGAAACTAAGATACTTAGCCACAATTTCATTGAAGCAAGGAATTTGTCATTTTACTTCAAAGTAATTTCTTTGCTGATTACAAGAAGCTGAGGGATTTGTGCAATAAAAAAATAAAACTAAGAACTTTTCCTACTCAAGGAAGCTATTTCTTCAATCTTGGGGTACTTCAGACTTCATGATTATGAGGCAAGTGCTTTATACACTGAGCCACCTCTCCAACCCTCAAAAATGTCTTTGTAAGTACATATTTAGCATTTATTTATTTGTTTATTTATTTATTTATTTATTCATTTATTTTGGAGGTGTTATTGTGCAGGTCAGACAACAGCATACAAGAGTCATTTGCCTCTCTCCACCATGTGCATCCATCCTGGGGAATGAACTCATGTCATTGAGCTTGGCAATAAACACCTTCTACCTGCTGAACTGTCTTGCCAGATCACACATTTCTTAGATATAACACAAACAGCTGATGAGATCTAACTGAATAAAATTATTTCTATGGGATTTATATATGTATGTGTATGTGTCTGTATGCTTAGAGAAGGGCAACATCCAAAGCCTCACCCATGTCCCCTATTCTGTGAAATGACTAAAAAATTGCTGAACATTGTAAATAGTCAGTATAATTTTATAATCATTAAATATAACACTTATCACCATACATTTTTAGAAGTTTGGACCATTGATTAAGAAGCTCTCCTGTTAAATGTACTATTGTCCGACTTTGGCTTCCAGTGATGTGAATACAGACCATGACCATAAGCAAGTTGTGGGATGAAAGGGTTTATTTACTGTGCATATCTCAAGTCACAGCCCACTTAGGTAAGTCAAAGCAGGAATCAAGGTAGGAACCTGGAGGCAGAAACTGAAGTAAAGACCACAAGGAGCAGGGCTGATTTTCTTGTCCCCCATGGAAAGCTTAGTTTGCTTTTTTAGCTATCCAGAGGGTAAAACCCACAGTGGGCTTGTCCCTCTCTCATCAGTCATTACTTAAGAAAATGTCCCATAGGCTTGTCTACACGTAATCAGATGAAGATATTTACTTAATTGAGGTTTTTCTTCCCAGATAAGTCTAAATTTGTGTCAAATTGATGAAAAACAACCAGGACACTTACCATGCATTTCTGCTCTTTAAAAGTACCAACTTTAAAGTATTTTTTATCATTGGTGAACTAAACTCTGGAAAATAATAATTTCCTTTAACATCACCCTATGAAGGATAGGTGACTCATCACAATTCTCTTTATTCAAATACTACTTTTTACACATTTATACAGCCTGGATATATAGTCAGAGAGCCTCAATTAAAAGCATGTGCTCATTCCATAATTTTATTCCAATTACTTTCCAATTCTTAACTAAATTATTCTAGTTAATTAAATAGAAAAGATTTAAAGAATATGAAATTATTATTTTGTTAGCATGGAAGTAAAACCAACTATAATCAGAGAAAAACCAACAGAAGCTTTCTAAGGGTTAAATTTTCAAAGGAAGTTTTTCTGAGATTAGAAAGTGTGATTGTTACTATTATGTAGTTGTTTCTCCAGGATCATTTTTAGAACCTTCACGTGAAACTGCTACACAATCATCTGCTTGGTGTTGTAAAATAACCAGGGGTGACTGACTGTATAGGCAAGTCCATGCCTCATGGAATTAGAATATCACCATTATTCTCAGTCCTATCTAAATGTAATTGAAAATTCATCTTCACATTTCTGAATGTGCATTTTGTCTACTCAGAAATTCACAACCAATGTCTATACTATAATACATAAGAGGCCTTGTCACTATCTTACGTGGCAGGGAAAATTTGATAATCTTTCATTATTAGTCTTGAAAAATGTATCCATTTGCTGACTATCAGTAACAGTATATTAAATTGCTTCCTGTATTGCATCCCTGAACCCAACTTTGTTATCAAAGCAAAGAAATAGCTCCTAAAACATTTTAACAATTACTGTTTTCTACTCTGTCTTCTATATCCATAATTTGGAGGTTAGAACTTCCCGTGGTATCATAAAACTTTTTCCTGTTCTGTTAATTTTAAAAATTACTTGGCTCTCTTGAGAGCAGCATGCTGTGAGTGTGCCTAGAGCATCTGCTGAGATAGTGTAACTGAATGCCACCGAGTAACAAAGAATTCCCAGAGAAGTTCCTTATGAGTTTTTATCCACAGAATAATAAGAAATAATAAATTATGGCAATCCACTAACTTTTGAAGGATTTTATATGCAATCAGTACCTAAAATCTACTAACCTTTTTTCCTCTTTAGGCTAGATCATATCTTACATCAAATGTTTTTAATGAATATCAATAATTAAGATGCATGTGTTATAAATGAGGCAGATATTGGGCTCTAATATCGGATGAATTCTGGTTTAAGTAGCTTATCTGGTTTGTTTGTGGAGAGCCTGGGTTTCCCGTCTACAAGATTCTATTGGAACTTGAGTGAATTGTAAATATAAGAAAAGACGGTACAAATGAGACATACAGAACAGATCCCCTGTTAAATGTATAGATCCATTTACACAACATTTAACAAAACTATAGCAAAGAACCCAACCCTTTGCTCGGGGCAACCATGTTTCTCTCTGCAGCTCAGCCCTTTTTTTCTCTGACTTCTTTTTAGACTTCATCACACTCTAACAGTACTTATGTAGAACCCATAGCTATTTCAGTTACTTGATCTTCACTTCATGATGACTCCAATGATCTTACTCCCCAACCTTTAAAGCCAAGTTGCTCCCATAATCATTGACCATACATTCATCACCAACAACTACAAATAAATAATCTCTATTCCTGAAATTTTTTATTGATTAATTTTGTTGGCCAACAGATGCATAGATGGATATAATATATTCTGCTTGCCCCAGCATCTCTTCTCTCCCTGCCATCACTATAAGCCCCTCCTCCTCATTACACCCTTTTCTATCTCCACGACTTTGGGTTTCATTTTGTGACCCACATAGTTTAACCAGGAGCATCTATGTGACCATTGGATTGGAAGTATCCATTTGGAAATCCCAATTTATATGGAATCTCAAATTTTCAATATTATTCCCTTTAATATTCCAACTAAATTTACATCTTACTGAAGTTTATAATCAACTTTTTTCTAACACCTTTTCGGTGACCTACCGCTCCACCACCAGTTCTCCAATGACCAAGATTTACATAACATGGTTGAAATCTTTTATATGACTTCATTTTTTATAATATTTAAGTAACTGGTTTCACTTTTCCCTCACTCTACCCATACCCCCACACCAATGAACACTTGAGCAGTCATTTAAATTAGTTTATAAAATTATCTCACCATGAGTCATTTGTCCTCACTCCTTACCATCTAAATTTCAACTTTTCCATTTTTTTCTTAAACTTCTAACAACGTCTCTATCAATCTTACTCTTGCTTTGTTTATCACAAAAGAACTGGTAGTAAACAGAGGAACATTTCCATACACTCCATTACCATTCACCTTGCACTATCTGAGACCCCCTGAATGGGGAGTGGGCTCTCAAAGTCCATTCATGTACTAGGGATAAATACTGATTCACTACCAGAGACCCCATAGATTGTCCAGGTCTCCTAACTGAGACCCACATTCAGGGTGTCAGGAACAGTCCTATGCTGGTTTCCCAGATATCAGTCTGGGGACCATGAGCAAGCTCTTGTTCAGGTCAGCTGTTTCTGTGGGTTTCTCCAGCCTGGTCTTGACGCTTTTTGGCTTACAGTTTGGAGATTGCCTTAAATCACAGAAGAGACTTTGGGTTTTTAAAGAGTCCTTTGACTGAAAAACTATAGGGAACTTTGGTGTTAGACTAGATGTGAGCATGAGCCTATGAGGGCCAAGAAGAAGATTATGGTGGTTTGGATCAGAATGTGTTCCACTTCACTGAATACATAGTTCCCAGTGAGTGGCTCTGTGCTGGCAGGTTTAGGAGTTATGACTTAGCTAGTGGAAGTAGGGACATGGTTTTAGGTTTCAATGTAACATGACATCCCTTCCTCACTCTCTGCTTTGCAATTGCAATTCAAGATGGGATCCCTCAGCTCCCTGCCCATCCTTCACTCACTCAGCCATCATAGATTCCAATTTTCTGGAACTAAAAGCCAAAAGGAACTTTCTTCTATAAGTTGCCCTGATTATGATGTTTTATCTTAGCAACAGAGATAACTAACATCAAGCGTCATTTCTTTACATTTTCTAAGATGTCATCCATATTTTTATTCATCTGTTCACTCATCCATTCACTTTTGGGGTATGTGGGATTGAACCCAAGACTTCTGTATTACGGATTTGCAATGCATAGATTAGCTTTTGATCTTTCATCTTTTAATAGAATTTAAACATCTTTTTACTTGCTGAGAATTATTGTTTATTTTCTCTATTGTCTTTTCCTCTCACTGGAAGACATGTTTCATTAATACAGGATTTTTACTTAATTTTATTTCTAAGAATAACAAAAAGGTACTCAGTAAATATTGGTGAATTTATTGGATTAATTCTTATTTAGATTTAAATAAAACTTACAATCAAGATTTACCTTGTTTAAATTCCAGCTAAGTTGGTTTATCTTATTCAACTTCCCAAATCTGTAGTAGTTACATTTCTCTAAAATTTTGTAAATACTCTAATAACAAGTAATTTCTTTGAACATTTTAAAACAGTATGCATCCAATTTAATAATTTCAAACTGTGATGATAAGGATAATTTCCCTAATTATAATTTTAAAGGCTTGGCTTTTTAGTTCAAACATGTATTATGCTTTAGAGTGAGAAGGACTCAGAATATGAGGGATGTGTGGCAGACACAAAGCTGATCATAATTGGGATATAGAAATAAGCTTATTGAGCTCCAAATTAGCTTCCTACAAATAATTTGACAGCTTTAGCTTTTCTATGAGACATTATATTTTTCAAATCCGTAATGACCAGAGTTTCAGTTCTTTCATTCTAAGTAACAGACACATTTTAAAAATCTGGATTTGAGGTCTTTAGTATAATGACTTTATTACTGTTAATTACTTACTGTTTATTGTTGGCCATCTGCTAATATTTAATGCAATATGGCCACTTTGCAGATATTCTTATTGAGTGAACCCCAAATCTGTGTAGGTAAAGTAATGTTACAGTTTCAAGATTAAACCTTAGTTGGGTACAGAAAAAAATATAGGTTTAAAATTTATGAACAAAGTAACCAAAAAAGTAATGCCTAATAAGCTTGGCTCTATTTTAAAAGCAAATATTTAACCACATTTCCTGTTACAAGGAAAGTTTAAGGAAGGTCTGTTTCCAACACAGATAATCTGAATGTTTCTTCTAGTTAATGGGGACTAGTTAATGACGATTTACCAAAATCACACGGTATGTTGATTGCCTTTGTTTCTTTATTAAGAATACAAGTAGCTTACACACACATGCACACACTCATACCTAGATATACATACAAACACACATACATAAATACACAGAGATACACAGAGACACAAATGCAAACTCAAATATTTTAAAAAGATACACACACACACACACACACACACACACACACACACACACACTTAGAATTATTTTACCAAAATAAGAACTAGGATTCTGAAAAATATCAACAAACACATATTTTGTGTCAGATATATGAGAGTACATGGAAATATCTGTAATTAAAAAAACTGTGACTTTCTAGCTTTTTTCCAAGACTGCCTTGGTGGTGACTTAGTGAGAAAAGGGAATCTTTCATACACAGCACTAAGGAAGATGGATTCATCCAGGGACTCTGCATCCAGGTGGTGGTATCTCTGCACCCTTTCCAAATCACTGAGGTCCTAGTGACATTTCTTTTCGTTAACAATATAAATTACAGCCTTCAAGTGGCACTATGCTCAACCCCTTAGTCATGGATTTGGAGCTTTGTTCTCATTGTGGGTGATGCAATCACAGTAGTCTCTGGTTTACCTCATCTTGCTGTGAGTTTAGCAGCTGCAATTTCATATGCTTCATGTATGCCATCGTGATTGGCATGTTGTAGTCAATCATGCTGGTCACCAATGTAGGAGGTTTGCCATTATCTGCAACAGAATATTTTAAATATATGATGAATGTGACACTGTATTTGAGCTGCACCTTCAGAGTTATTTGGTATGTCTAATTAAAATATACTCTTCATCACATTAACAATTAAAAAATGAAAGCACTGTAGATGAATTGTACAAAATATAACGTGCAAATTTCTACAAATTATGTTACCCCAATTTAACAGACTGGACAAATCCACTATTTCTTACTGTAGAATGACTTTAAGTAACCTAAGTAAAAATAAATAAAACTAATATGTTTATTAATCATTTAAAAATCTTTCAGTGAAGCTGGGTGGTGGTGACACACACCTTTAATCCCAGTACTCAGGAGTCAGAGAGCGGCAGACCTCTGTGAGTTGGAGGCCAGCCTGGTCTACAAAGCTACACAGAGAAACCCTGACTCAAAAAACAACAAAAAAATCTTTCAGTGAACAGTTGTTTTATATATAAATTACTGGGAGTCAAAATAAATTAGCTTTTAATTTTTACTTTCTTTTAGGAGATAGGCCATCCTCCAGCACATGGAAGGATCTTAAATGTACCTTTGAAATTATTTTGAGTTTTGGGCTCATATAGTGCTTAGGAAAATTATTTGTATAATTTCAATGAATGGTAAGGTCAAACTATGGTATCATTTCTGGAAATAAGGATCTATGGACTTGAAAGGTTATTTATAATGTTGAACTTTTTGATGCATATACCTAAAATACCAGGAAATAATACCATGGTGGATATCAAAGCATTATTATAAACAAATATACTTGCACAGCTAAAACTGCCTCGAGGATTAGATCCTAACTTACAAAGTAATTTAGGATCTACTGCTCCTAAATTGAATAAATGATATGACTTGTTAAACTGTTTCAAGCTTCCACATTTTGTGAAATGTAAGGTACAAATTGACATTATGAAGAAAAATTACTTCAAATCTCACTATCGGACACTGTGGCTACCTTTGTGATCGGTTCCATCTGGGTTCAAGTGCATTCTTTTCTGGCACTCGGAACAGCTCATAAGAAAC